TTTAAAACTGGAGAACATACTTGTTATTAAAAAAAAAAAAAGAAGGAAATAGTGAGTTAGTAGTATGTAGAACACTGTGATCAGAACATAATATTTACTAACTAGTAAAGAGGTTCAAAATAAGAGTGATTGAAGAAGGCAAACCCAGTATTATTCCATACTTAAAAACCAATAACAAAACCACAGTGTAGAGTATGATAATACACAATTAATGAAAGGATACATAACATACATCAATGTATTAAAGATATCTCTTGATGATAGTTTACTGATGCTTTGTGTTTATATTCTCTGAAATTTTTGTAATGTTTTTATATTTCCTTGTAATAAAATTTGCCTTGAAATTAAAAATTGTATAATATATAAATCATTCATAGTCTCACCATATCATTTAATGATTTATTGCTAATCATTTTTCAAAGTCTATACTTATAAAAAAGTTATAAAAGTAAAATTTAACTATAAAATCTTTTTTGTTATTAAAAGGAAGAAACAATTAGTGCTATTTCTTCGTGATAGCTGCCCCCATCCTGATCCCTTTTTGTCATTCCTGGAGGCAACCACTGCTGAACTGGTATGTGTTAATTCTTATTTCAACACTTTTATTTTATTTTTTTTATACATAGGTGTGCACCATTTTCAAAAAAAATCCAAAAATTAAAAAAATTCTGTTTAAAAAATTTAAGTGGTTTTGTGCAGCAGCTACTTTTCTCAATTAACTTTATATTGTATCGCTTTTAACTGTTCATTTCTTTTAACTGTTATTCCACTATATATATGGGCCAATATTTATTTACTGTTCTTCTACTAACACAAACGATTTTAACAATATGAAATTATTACATCTCTTCCAGAACACATCTCTTAGAACAAAAACTAGTGTTTCTGGAGATATAACAAGCATTTTTCTGTTCTTACAGATATGCCCTCAGTGTGGTTTGTCCCATTCAGAATGTCCCAGTGATCAATTTCCCTAATTTTTATGAACATTTGATCTTGTCAAAATTTAGGCATTCTGCTAATTCTAGCAGGTGAAAACAATGCCTTTTTGTTTTACCTTGCATTTTCCTTATTATCAGCATCCTCTTATCCAAAAATCATTTTTACTCTAAGTATTCTTTGACTAATTAGAATTCAATTACTCTTACAAGTTCATCATCTTTTCAATTAAAATTCACCTTTTATCTTCCTTTCATGAGGTTTATTTATGAATAAAGGAGGCATACTCTTCATTGTTTAAAAAAGCCAGTTGCAGTTTATCTCAAAATTCTTTTTAATCATCTTATTTTCAGAATATAATGCTTCTGTGAGCATACCACCAGGCCATGACTTTCTCTATGTGCTTCCCTGATTTAACATTTAGTACATTTTCTAGTAAAGCTAAATTAAAAACTATACCCTCTGAAATTATAAGTCCTACAAAGAAATGGCCTGATGTAGTGACCATACCTGAAATTTCTTTAATGACAATATTCTCAAAATAACTTGGTCCTTAGCCTGAATCAATGACTGGCAGGTGAGAAGATGATAAAACAGACCGGATAAATTTTGACTCCTAAATATAGAGTTAATCTATAATTAACAATTGTAAGAATGGCTTTGTTCAAGTGACCCTAGGATATTCTTTCCTGTCTCTGAAGTACTTTTTTTTAAAAAAAAGACAAAATCACCCAGGAAAAATATCACCCATTAATTGTTTGCTTGTAGTCTGTAGCCCACCAATAAAGATAACACCATTGGAATGTCACAGTGGTTCTGCTTTTCTAATTATTGAAGATTTTATTTTTTAAGTGGCCATAATCCAGCAATGTGTTAGGGTATTCCTGTTTTGCTTATGCCTTGGGACTTAAGAATGAAATGTGGTGTACAGTCAAAAAAGATAATTTTAAATAGAACATAGAAAACATTCAGTGGGCAGACTATTCTGAAATGAGGGCTTTGTAAAAGTACACTGTAAAAAGTACTTTGTAAAAGTACACTGTTAGTGCTACCATGCCTGGCACAAAGCCATTTTTTTTAATATTTATTTTTTAGGTGTAATTTTATTTTAATATTTTTAATATTTAATATTTATTTTTTAGGTGTAATTGGACACAATGCCTTTATTTTATTTACTTGTTTTTATGTGGTGCCGAGGATCAAACCCAGGGCCTCACACGTGCTAGGTGAGTGCTTTAACACTGATCTACAAATCCAGTTCCCACAAAGCCACTGTAATAGGAGAATTTTCAATCTGTCAAAGTCTTCAGGAATGTACGATGTGTTGGTACATTTATCCAGACGCATATAACCATCTTATAAAAAGGAACAAAAAAAAGGGGGAGGGGAGAAACTGTACTTTATTTGGTTAATTTTAAGCTTGTAATAAAAAGTAAACTCTGCTAGAGGTTCTACAGTTTATAATTTGTACTTTTTCAGGTACTAAAATCTAGGATAAACCTGATGGAAATGTGTGTGTGTGCGCGCGCGCATGTACACATATTTTTTATATATATATGTATATACACACACACACAAACACACACATATATACACACATATATATATACATATATATGGGGGGGGGGAGAGGGAGAGAGAGAGAGAGAGAGAGAGAGAGAATGAATGTGTGTGTGAGGCACACTCATTACAGAATGAGAACAATTTTAAAATGTAAACAAAGTGTTTTGGAGTAGATAGACTGCATAATTTTAAACCATAAAGTGATGGGAAAATATCACCTTTTCCCTGACAATTTTCCACACTACAAAATTCCAATATGATAGTGTTCTTTTCTACAGTCACTTGTTTCACTGGTACTTCATTGCCCTTTCACTGTTGCTAGATTTTTCTTTTAAATTTATTTTGAGACAGGCTCTTGAAATTTTAAATTCCACATGCTGGCCTTGAACTTGAGATCCTATTGTCTCAACCTCCCAAGTAGCTGGGATTACAGAAGTGTGAACTGTGTCTCACTAAAAACAACTTATAATACTGTATTTTGCTGCCTCTTTATATTATAAACCCTTTTCCCTTCTATTATTCACTTTTATTACTTCTTTGGCTATTATTTATTTTCTTTGACATTTCTCAGTTTTGATATGAGAAGAATTTGGCTTTTCTCTCTTCTGGAAGACGAACCTATCAATAACAAAGAGTTGTGTGTAGTCATGCATTTCTTCATGTCACAGATACGTATTGTGTACCTATTCCAGGCCAGGCCCCATTCCAGGCATTAGGCATAAAGAAACAAACAAAACAAAGTCCCGCCCTCATACAGTTTGCATTCTAGTGAAGGGGGCAGACAATGAGAAAAGCAAGTCATGTAGGATTGGGTGTTAAACAACAAAACAAATGAACGGGTAGGGGCAATAGAGAGTGACATGATGGGCGGGGGACCTGTTATTTATCTAAAGTGATCTGAGAAGGCATGTCTTAAAAAAAAGAAGGGATATTTGAAAAGAGAATTTAAGGACATTTGTAGCATAAGTATATTAAATAGAAAAGAACAAGTACAAATGTGCTGACAGAGCATGCCTGGCCTGTTAAAGAAACAGGAAAGAGATCAGTGGGGGGAAAGAAAATAAGTTTTTTTTTTTTTTGCTGAATGTTTATTGTTTTTGCCATGGTTTACTCCTCAAATTTAGATTTGAACAGATACAGATTCCAACTTATCTGAAAGGGTGAGAGTGTTTTAAGTTTAGTAGACAAGTAGAACGGTTCTAAATAAAGTAATAATATGCAGTATAGCATTTTGGCTGAAAATAGGTTTGTAAACAGTCTAAAATTACAGATATATTACCTGGTTTTGAGCCAGGGAAGGTGGTGAAGAGGGAATACTTAAGAACAAGGTCCCCAGTTTTTAGTCCTGGCTCCAACACCAACTTTCTATAAGTGGTTTTTTTTAATATTTATTTTTTAGTTGTAGATGGACACAATCTCTTTATTTCATTTTTATGTGGTGCTGAGGTTTGAACCTAGTGCTAGGTAAATACTCTACCAATGAGCCACAACCCAGCCCCTGCATATATCCTTTTATTCTAATTTTATAATAAAAAAAAAAGCACAGTGGTTTTTAGGGAAAAAATGTTGGTATTGGAAATCCTGAGTTAAACAACTTTTCTGCTATTTATTAAATGTGTGTCCTTATACAAGTCACTTAAAAGACTGTTTCCTTATTTGTAAAAAGAAAATAAAAATATCTACTTCATAACATTAAAGGACAATCTATGCATGTGAAAACAATTTGTATACTACAAAATATTAAATTAGGATATTTTTAAAGTATGCTTAGTTTACTTTATTGAATTTCATGTGTTTTCAAATTTTAATTTTATCTTTTGGTTTACCTATTTATTTGCACTTAAGAGTTATATGCAGAATTTATCTTGTAAGTCAGTTCTCCATTTTAAGCTATGCAAATTTTAAAATTAACTATATTTTCAATTATGCCACAAAATTTTATATATATATATACATATATATATATACACACACACATACATATATACACATATACATATATATCTCTCTAAACCTGAAGACCTCAAAAAGAATGAGAATGAGGATTTTCATTTTAACTTATTAAATGACCTATTTGCAATAAAAAATTTGGGCACTTAGTGAAAATGATTTGAAAGGATAATTAGCAATTATTACATATACATATAAGTATGTACACATATACATATACATATATACAATTGTTAAATAACTTTTAGTTCAGTTTATTTTTTTATCTATTTTTGTTCCCTGAGTCTCTACTGCTTACTTAAATCACTGAATGTGAAACACTCAGCTGTATATTTACTATGAAATTATTGGTATTCGTCACTGTAGGTTTTGATGACTGCACTAGGGAAAGACTGCTTTATATTTCTGTATCATATTGCTAGTCATTAGTGTCCTTATACTGCTGAACAGTAATTTAAAATGCAATCCAAAAGAAGTATCAAGTCTTTAAAACATCTTCAATTGTCTTCAAAAGGAATTTACAAGAGATTTAACAGAATGGAACTTACTCCATGCCCTGTGCAGTTTGCCGTGCAATATCTATAAGTTTGATCATTTCAAATTTGGTCTCAATGATGTGGAGATGGTGATATAAGCTGGAGCCCTCACACCACTGGGTAACAATAGCTAGTTGTGGCTTTGTGGAATAGCCCATGAAGAGTAGGATATTCACATGTCGTGTTTTCCTGTAAAAGTAAAGTGATGGTAAATAGTAAATGCCAATAAACTTTAGCAATTCTTAAAAGGGAGTCAAAGTAGTCAAGCAGTAAGATGAACAGAAAATGGTATTAAAAAAAATAAAAAGCATTTTAGATGAATTATCTAATTAATTATCTAATCACCCATCCTATTCAGAAATGTCTTTTTAAAAAAAATATATCTGACAAGTAAGCAGAGGTTGCTTAATACCTTGAATTTATGGGAAGCTCACTAATTGAAAAGAGCTACCCTACCCACTTTTCTGCTTAAATGGTTCTAGTATTAGAAAGTTTTCTTGTGAGACAAAATCATTTTCCTCCAACCTCCACAACTTTCTTCCCTTTTCTGCTCTCTGGAATATAAGGTAGCAACTCAGTATCCTTTTAAATCTAACAGTCTTCTCTGGATTAAATATCCTCAGTTTTGTTGACTCGCTGTCTTTCCAAATTACAGTTCTAGAATCTTCCCCATTTAAGTTGTCCTACTTTGAACTTACTCTCATTTGTAAATGTTCCATAAGTTCTAGGCACAGGAGTAAATGCAATCTCTAAAAGATATTCTGAAACATTTAGAATTTTGAGAGCATTATTTCCGTAAGTGAAACTACTATTTCACATGGTCACAATACTATATTTTCATTACTTCAGTCTAGAATTAAGTTTTCTATCAGCTATACCAAATAATATGAATACCACTTAAAAGAATAAGCTGAAAGAAAATAAAATTAGACATCCTATGGCTCTATATACTTATTCATTTTGAGTAAATTGTAAAGCTAATAGTGGCTACCACCAGAAAACAGGAGCTAATAATAATAACTTCTTTCTCCTAAAAACAGTAATTTGCATACGCTCACCTGAGTACTCCTACTTCATTTTTGAAGGCCTGTAACTGTTGAGGTGTGGGTGCTGTCACATTCAACATTTTCACTGCCACATCACCTAAAAGGTAATCATCATTCCAAATGTCATTCCAATTTTAAAAATTTAAAACTATAAAACATTCTTGGGGATTTCCACTAATTATAATAATTGGTAAATCCACAACACTGTTAAACTACAAATAAATAATGCCTAACTGTCTAAACTGCATTAATTTTTGAAGGATAAAAATGAAATTAACAGCAATACTCCTATACTAGTATTTCAAAAGACCAACCCCCAAATAGACAACCTTGTTTTCCCTGGAAATTTAGTTTAAGTAAGTACCCAGAGTATTTTTCCAATTATTTAACAATACTCAATGAGATATATTTACTAAATGAACACTGAAACTAGAGATAAGAGTCCCAGTGGAGCTTGGCTTAAAGTTGAAAACTTCAAATTTCTTTATCAGAGCAGTTAACATTATGTACAAAGTTATGGATTATTTATGATGCTTTTCATTAGAAAAATGTTTAAAATTATAGCTAATTTAAAAAAGTTTATGTAAAACAGCCATAACTCTTACACACTACCACTAAAAGTGAAAATTGGTACAACCACTTTGTAATATTGCTGGTAGTATCTATAAAACTGGACATATGCACATCATATGGTCCTATAATTTTCTCCAAGGTATGTATACCCAGCAAAAATAGATTTATATGTTCTCTGAAAGATATAAAAAAAATATTCATAGCAACATCATTGGAATAGCACCAAACTGGAAACCATCCAAATGCTCATTACACAGTAGATGGAAGAAGAAATCAGCTTACACATTGAAAAATTAACAGAGAGAATGAATGACTTCCAACAACAATACAGATGAATCTTGCATACAACATAAGGGGCCAGACACTGAAGGGTACATGCTGTATGATTCCTGTTGCAGTCAGGTTGGTAGCTAACCTTGGGGGAGGAGTGACTGGAAAGGGGCATCAGGGGAGCTTCTAGTATGACAATAATGTTCTGTTTGTTGATCATGGCTATCTATTCACTTTTTGAGATTTCAGCTACTTGTATACTTACATGCATTTTTTTATATGTACATTAAGCTTTTATATATATATTATTGATTTCTTTTAGTTATCAATATAATACAACATTCATTTTATCAGTGGTACCATATAACTTACCTACCACTTAAAACCAATGTTTAAAAACATTTTGAAAGCACCCAGAAAAAAATTACCATAATGCCACTCACTGACATTTTATATATGAATGATAAGGCTTATATATGAATGCAGGGTGAATATTTATGAATATATAAAAAAATGAGAACTATAGTAAACTTCTGATAGAAATTTTTTATATTATATATATAACATATATGGGGTATTACACATGCTGCTTTTATACAATTTAATACACCAAAGACACCTTCCATATCAATAAATGTAATTCTAGCATATCATTTGAAAAATCCTATACAATCATGTATGGATCCAATTTATTTATCTATTTATCTAATCGTTTTTTTATTTTCATTTTGCATTCTTACTAAATCTTAATGAATTTACTTTTTTTTTTTTTTTAAAGATAGAGTGAGAGAGGGAGGGGGAGAGAGAGAGAGAGAGAATTTTTAATATTTATTTTTTTTTAGTTTTTGGCGGACACAACATCTTTGTTTGTATGTGGTGCTGAGGATCGAACCCGGGCCGCACGCATGCCAGGCGAGCACGCTACCGCTTGAGCCACATCCCCAGCCCCATGAATTTACTTTTATACATGATTATTCATTCCTGTCCCATTACTTCCTAAGGATGTCATCAATATACATATTGCCAAATTATATATAATAATAATGTTTATAATAATACAAATAATGGCTCAATAGACATACTGCCAAATTGTCTTGTAATTCCAGCAGCTCAGGAGACTGAGGCAGCCTCAGCAGTTTAGCAAGGCCCTAAGCAACTCAAGGAGACCCTGTCTCCAAATAAAATATATATTTGAAAAAAGGGCTAGGGATGTGGTGCAGTGGTTAAAGCTCCTGGGTTCAAACGCTTGTATTAAAAAAACAAAACAAAACAAAAAACAAAAAACAAAACAAAAAAAAAAGAAAACAGAAACCAACCCAGATTTTGGGGAACAGCTAATCTGGAGAATCTTAATTTTAAAAAATTATTACTGCAGTCAGGTGGGGCGCCACATGCCTGTACTCCCAATTACTATGAGGCAGGAGAGCTACAAGTTCAAGGCCAGTCTGGGTAACTTAATGAGACCCTATCAAAATAAAAATAAAAAGGGCTGGGCATATAGCTCAGTGGGAGAACAACTGTCTAGTATGGGCATGGCCCTGGGTTTGATCCCTAGCAACACAAACACAAATAAATAAATAATTAGTAATATAATGAAAGGAGTCCTGATTGCTGTGAACCTAGGTTTTATTTCCCATAATTCTTGTTACAGTTTGGGAGAACTTCTGCATCTGATGAAAATGATGCAAACAGTGAGTATTCTTTGATTTTTAAAAATAAAATGGTTACACATATACTATTACTGTGAGACTTGTGACTACGTCAACAATATTACATACATACCATGCCACTTTCCCTTGTAGACTGTTCCAAATGATCCAGATCCAATTCTTTGTCCCACTGTGATCTGTCCATCAGGAATCTCCCAATCATCACTTGAATCCCGTCTACCAAGTGTTTTCTTGATAAAAATAGTGCAAAAGTCAAGTTAGGCCAACCAAACAAAAAGGGGAAACCTTATGTTCCATGTGAAGTATATTAACCTAAGCCTGAGAGGAGCAAGATGAGGAAGATAATATCGCTTCTTTCACCAAAAGCTGAAGAAATAATAGTTAAAAGTATGACTAGGAGCTGGGGTTGTGGCTCTGTGGTAGAACGCTTGCCTACCATGTGTGAGGCACTGGTTTGATCCTCAGCACCACATAAAAATAAATAAAATAACTATCTATCAACAACTAAAAAAAATTTTTTTTAAATATGACTAAAAATACAAAACAAAATTAAGACAAGTCAGACTTGGATAGAAACAATTTATTTAAAAATGAAAATTATTTATTGAGCATGTGTGAGAAATGCCTATTATTAAAATTAATAAGAAAAACCAGTTTTGTATTATTTGGAGGACTATAAGGGCAAGATAAATATTATGTATTTGTGATAAGTTTTTGCCTCCAAATACCTAAAAATTTAACCTAATATGTTATAGTAACAGGAGACAATTTTTCTAGTTACTTTTTTCTAGTCAGAGTTAAATTTTCTCATAGATCTGAACTGGTCTCTCTCTAAAAAAAATCTATCTATCTATTTATCTATCTATCTATCTATCTATCTATCTATCTATCTATATCTCCAATTACTTTGGTAGGGTTAAAGGATCATCTTCCCAACAAGTAGCAGAAAGTTAATTTTTCAAATAGGGAAAAATGTCACTTGGTAGATTTTTGAATTGTAGTTCAGCCTTTAGAATATGTATGCTTAATCATGCTTTCCAAAACTTTATTTACTCTTTTTTCCTTATTTTATTTTAGGTACTGGGGTTTGAACCCAGGGGTGCTTTACCACTGAGCCACGTCCCTCAGCCCTTTTTATTTTTCATTTTGAGACAGGGTCTTGTTTGAGGCTGGCCTCAAACTTGCTATCTTTGTCTCAGCTTCCTGAATAGCTGGGATTACAGGTGTGTACCACTATGCCTGGCTCTTTTTTCTTATTAGAAACAGAATGCTACTGTTACTCTTCCAAAACTGCCTTTTACATTAGAGATGAAAATGAAAATTGGTGTTGTGGGAATATGCTTAAGCAAAAATCAACTGTTAAATTTGATAGGGGAATTTTTTATCATATACAGATATAACATATCTAAAAGTGACATTTATGTGGCTCTGATTTCAAAAAAGAAAGGACTCCGGTGAAAAAAAGATAAATATTCTTACCATCCTATTCCTGTCTTCTGAGGAGGAAGATGACTTCCTTTCCCGCTGAGGTCCTGGAGATTTCTGTAAGGCTTTCACATTAGTGAGTGAGCCTGGTAATGAGGCAGGTGGGGTTGCAGACAAACCTGTGGTTGATCCTAAATCAGGGAAAATGTATCCATTAAGGAGGAGCAAGGGAGCGAGTTCCTTTAACAGGGGGTGCACAAAGTGCAAGTGGGGACTTAGATTTGGATTTAAACTTGCTATTAAAATGTAGTATATGTTCAAATACTGACCTTTTGAAAAAAACAAGTCAAAAGAGGCCTATTGGTGATTAGTACTAATTTTTTTTTAGTTTTCTGGCCAACTTAATTACAGTTTTAAAACATCTAATGATAGATATATTATTGGTTTAACTTTTCCTAGTCCAAAGTCTAGGGAAAAAAATTCTCTTAATAAAAAAAAAATTTGTGTCTTTGAAGAAAAATTTAAAAAGTGAAGTCAATTAAAAAGCCTATATAACACATTTTTAAATAGAAACTTTTAATTGTATTACCTCAATAGCCAATCAATATTAAAAAATATGGAAACCCCCAAATGGAAATATTTTCTAATGTTACCTTAATATTGAAAATATAGGGCTTGTTCATATTAGCCACTAATATTTAAATACAACCCCAAACTATAAGCTTTACTACTTAAGAAATATTGATCAGTGTCAGTAGTTCCTGGAGGTTTTTTTTTTTTTTTTTTTTTTTGACTAATATAGATTATTTGTTACCTTTATAACAAAATGACTGTAAGCAAAGCCAAGTAGGTTTCCTTAAAATTTTCTGAAAATCTCTGCATTTAAAAGTAAGTATAAAGTAAATGTTATGGCCTTTTAGGCAAGTTACTACAAATGCCAATATTTTGTATGCCAAGTAAGCCCAAGGAGTACTCTTTGGAAGTGGACTCAGTTGGTAAGATTAGAACCTTTCTGATGGGCACATTTCCAAATACTGACTCAGTGGTAAACATCCTAAGTCTATGTATAGTTGCATCTGGTTCAGAGGGGCTCAGGACAATGAGTCAGGCTTGAATACAGCTGAATAGGACTAAGATTTCTAGGCAATATTTCCATATATATATAGTCTTCAGGAATATATACATATATATATTTTAAAGATTACAACTCATACGGTAGAGATGAGACCATAGTCTTTCAAAGAACAAGGATGTAAAAAAACCCCCAAACATTTCAATGTTAAATATGGGCTGGGTACAGGGGTGCACCCTGGTAATACCAGGGACTCAGGAGGCCAAGGCAGAAAGATTGCAAGTTGGAGGCCAGCCTTGGTAACTTAGTGAAACCCTGTCTCAAAATAAAAACGAAAAAGAACTAGGGATGTAGTTCAATGGTAAAGCACCCTAGGGTTCAATTTCCAGTACCAAAAAAGAGAAATATCTTAATTTTCTAAGTGATTATCCCACATTGCTCCTTCCTTTCTTAAAAAAAAAAAAAAAAAAAAAAAGTTCAATCTGGGTAGAAATTTTACCATTGTTACATCATACTATAATAGCATGTGAAATTTCCATGCTCTCACAGGCAGTTTTCTAAAATAAAATGGTGTCTAACTTGTCTTTTAATTAGAGCATAATCCATTTTCTGCCTGCCATTGATATTTTCAACACCATATAGTCTTAATCGCTTACCCAGGTGACACAGTTCTGGTCTACTTAGTAACATTTTATTCCTTAGTTTAATCATATTATTCAGTACTGGATGAACTTCCATCCCATTTCATGGATTTTTCTGAGAAACAGCTGGGCTGAGAGAGCAAAACTGAAAACACCATTGCTACATGGTGGAATGTGATGGACATTATCTAAAGTACATGTATGAAGACACGAATTGGTGTGAATATACTTTGTATACAACCAGAGATATGAAAAAATTGTGCTCTATATGTGTAATAAGAATTGTAATGCATTCTGTTGTCATATATAAATAAAAAAATTAATAATAATAAAAAAGTAACAGGGGGCTGGGGATGTAGCTCAGTGGTAGATCGCTTGCCTACCATGTGTGAGGCACTGGGTTCGATCCTCTGCACCACAAAAAATAAATAAAATAAAGATATTGTGTCCATTTACAACTATTTTTTGAAAAAGTATCGATCAAGAGCCAGTAAATATAATTCTTTTTTTTTTTTTTTTTGCAGTACTAGGGTTGAACATAGTAGGATGCTCTACCACTGACCTAGCCAGGGCCCTTTTCGTTTTTTTTATTTTGATAGGCAGGTTTTCCTCAGCTCCTTAAATTGCTGGGATCACAGGTATACACCACTGCACCCAGATAATTCTTTAAAAAAAATATTTGTAGCCAGACATCTGTACCAACTTTGACTTCAAATTTTAAAAAGTCAGTTTAAGAACTAAAATATGGCAAAATAAAAGGCAGAGTAAAATTATACTGCTAACTTTTTCTTCCTATTAAGGTATAATTAGAGTATAACTACTCTGAGTTTCTGAAGTATTCTGAAATATCCAAAATATATGATAAATCTTTCTGTTTTAAAAACAATTCCCTATTTTTTCATAAAATATACACATCCCATATTGGGGCAAAGAATGAAAACAAAACCCAAAATGCATTGCTGATATTACAAAATTAAAAAAAAAAAAGCTAAAAGCCTAACAAAAATATTTTTAATAGGGGTTTCCATTTATATTTTAATTTTCTTAAAAACCACAAAAATTGTTAACAAATAGTTAATCAAAGTTATCACCTACATTAAAATTTAAGGAATCCATATTGAAGATCCCTCCCATCTTATTTGTTCCCACCCACTGAGTTTAAGTCATCAAGACCAAGATGTAATAGTATAACAAATAACAAGATGGAAAATCTCAGCTCAGATTTTTTTTCTCTCTTAAAAATTTATGACAGACAGCATACAGAAAACTTGTAGTAGTGAATATGTGTGAGAAGCACATTCAGAGCATTCCAGCCAGGCCAAGCAGAAATTCAGTACTGAAAACTCTCACACTTACAAACACACGCTGTGAGGGTGAGGCACAAACAGCATCTGTAGTTTATATTTAGTTTGCTTTGGGTGAAAACAAGAAAGAAGAGCCCAACTACCTCTGAACACTGGGCCAGGCTCAAAATCAAACACTATTTCACTGGGGACAGAATGTAGGAGGGGACTGGGAGTCCGGGATTGGTATTTCCGAAGACAGCGCATCAGCTGGTTCAAGGGGGCTGTTAGAAGAGAAAGAGAGGGGCAGGCAAACACAGGAAGACAGACACACAGAAGAAATGAAAGAAGTCATGGGGAATAAATAAGATGAATTGAAGCCCGCTTCACAAAATAATTCTGGACTTTTTTCTTTAACCTGCTTATTTTTATAAAATCCCAATCATTTTTTAAAAAGTGACTCATAAAAAGGACAAGAAATGCCACTTGATTTTAGATTCTAAGCAGGCAGTGTTTATGACAAAGTTAACTCTGTGATGCTAACATGATGGCAACATTTAAATGCTTGATGTATTGGGCAAAATTATCAAAAGCCACAGCTATTAAGACATATGAAAGTCAAACTGGCAGCAACATTAAATTGGCAGGTTCATGGAATAACAAACAGAAGAAAAACCCTTTGTATAACTATGTGCTCTAGTCAATACCAAGTCCAGAGTACATAATGCAGGCTTATTATTTTGGTAGCTTCATAGGTGTACAGAAATATAACAAAAGATGGTTTATACAATGTTTACTTGGAAAATATCTCTGAGTCTGGGCTTAGATATTTTGAAGATACAGAAGGTCACAATGAAGAGACCAGCTCTGTCCGTGATACTGCAGGTCTTCTTTATTAGAGAAGTACAGAGGACCTCCTTCAAGAAAACTTCAAGGCAGTCTTAAATACCATCTCTGAGAAAACATTAAATGGGATAAATTCTTATAAAAAGTTTTTTCTTAAGCGATGTTTCTTAAGATAAAAATTCTGAAAGATACAGCAATTTCTTGTTTGCTTGCTTTATTTACTAGACTAATCCAAGGGTAAGCTTTTCCATTCTGGGCTAGCTATTCAATAAAAGGTACATTTCAAACACTTCCAGAAAGTTGAAGGGAAGTGTCTGACAAACTAAGGAGCTCTGGCAGGCAATCCAAGTCATGATTTAGCAAAATCAAGTTTTAAGTATGAATGGAGGACCCCAAAGGAAATTTATCAATTTCCATTTAAGAGAGGTAGAAGTTAACGAAGTGGTTAAAATAATTAAGGATCTCTTCTTGATGCAATATTTAAGTTACAGATGGTACATTTAAGACTACCTTTTGTGTTTTCTCATTTCCTATTCATGTCAAGAATTAGTTAAAATTAGCAATAAATGATAAATACTACAAAAATTTGGGTTTTCGCTACTTATTTTTCTCTGTGTCTGTGTTTCATGAAAGAAGCAAGTATAAAGGAGATAAGCAGCAAAGCAATTGCATTTTTTCCTGAGCATTTTTTTTTTTTAAACTGAACTCACTCACTACTTACCTCCATCACCACGAAACCCTTGGTCTCTAATCAAGTCCTACAAATAAATAGTAAAGTATATTTATTCAAAGCATATGGTAAGAAAATAATAGCAACACTGAATTTTCACTCTACATTAATAGAAAGGTTAATTCAAAATAACACCTGTCTTACAATTACTTCACAAAACAAAGAATATGAAATTAGCTAGTGGACATGATAAAAATCTAAATTTTGAAGTACTTGTCAAACTAACCCTATAACTGAAAGGATTTTTAGTCCTGATCAAATGCTGAAATCCATTTCAGGCCATTCAAAACCAATGGCTTCATCAGTCCTTAAAGAAAATTCTACTGGCACATATTAAGAGCCATAAAAATGTTCATACCCTTTGATCCTGTAATTCCACTTCTGGGAATTTTTCCTAAGGAAATAATTCAGAAGAAAAAATGATATGCACAAAGATGTTTAGTGCAGCATTATCCATCATACTAAAAAGTCAGAAATAATTATTTCCCAATGATAGGCATTTTGACAAATGATGGTTAAGTAAGTTATGGAGTATCAATTTAATGAAGTATTATGCAACCATGAAAACAATAATGAAGATTAAATCATGAAACATATTCACAATAAGATGAAAAATACAAAGTTAAAAGTACACTGAATACCATCATAAAATATGGATACACAAGGACATACTACAAAAGAGGGAAAAAGATCAAAATAGCTCAAATAAGAATTTTATTAAATTTGTCATTGTTATTAAAATACAGTTACAACAGTGTTAGTAGTAGGGAAGTCACTCTGTTGTACAATTTGGATCTTGATAGGCAGAACTTGGATTAGTTTGCTTACTCAGTTTAATTTAAATGTGAGGGATTGAATGGCCCCAAATGTATCTAAATAGGCCCTTTGCCAACAGGCAGCTTTTTGTTTGCTAGCTAAAACAAAGAATATTATTTATAGGTATATTTCTGTCATGTTCAATGTACCACATAAAGTCTTCAACATTTTCTACAGAATAATCAATACGCATATAAAACTTCAAACAAGGTGCTAGGTATTAGGGGTGTTGCTACCAATAAATACAAAATTCTGGTAGTCTCATTAACTTTCTGTGGTTTTGAAAGTTTATACTCATTGTAAGAGAAATGTACACTCATGAAAATTAAATGATATAATTACAACAACTTAAAATATTATAGAAGAGATATCAGTTTGTTGCTAAGTTACTGTCAACCAAGTGCTTTTGGCAATAAGATTTTTAGTCCTACATAAAGGATTTTATCATTGGGGAAGCATTTGAAGAAATGTCTGAGGGAGGGTTGGAAAAAAGGAGTATAGTTAAGGGCCTTCTAGACACAAGGACACATAAGAGAAAGGCCATATCCCTTTCTTTTCGCTGCATCTACCCCGAAACTTACAACAACTATGAACTGACCAAATTTGGCTTTCTCCACTCTTACAACCTACAGCTAGTACCAACATAAACTTGCATTTTTCAGTCTCAAATGTGTTCTTAAAACTCCTCGACAATCTTTTTACTTGTTCCAGGTTAAACAGGACGTTCTAGTTTCCAAATCTGATTATTTCAAACTTTCTCCCACTCTCTTGTAGTTTCTTCTCTTACATTTCTTTCCTTCAGCATGATAAACAAAAACCATCAGAAGAACTTTTGGTCCTGCCTTTACATCCATAAATATTTGTATAATAACATAAGCTATAATTTCTGAATTCTTATGTACTGGGCATAAAAAGAAGTGTCTAGGTAGGCACTATTAGGTGGACAATAAAGTCATACAGTTTGTAGAGAGCTATATCCATCCATCTTTAATTCCTCATAGCTTGTGCAGGACATCATTATCTATTCTTCCTCTTCTTTCAATTCCCTCCTTTACTACTATACAGTATAATGGGTAAGCATAAGAAAGGAAGGCCAGGTTCAAATATACTTATCAGCTGTGTGTTGTGGTCTTGGTGTACTCTTTAATCTCTGTAAATTTATCATCCTCTCTCACTCTTACTTTATACTAATTTTCTTAACAGTGAACTAAAGATAATAATAGTACTTAACCCATGAATTTATATGAGGCTAGAACAAGAAAATTTATTTATAGCACTATCACAGTATCTGGTACACAGTAAGCATTCATAAGTAGTAGCCATTTTACAGATTCTTAGGAATCTTATCTTGAATTCACTAATTTATAGTCTCCTTTCCTTCAACTCACTATCTTGACACCATTGCTACTACTTCAGTTTCAGCTTTTACTGGCTCTTGTTTAGAATACTGCAAAAGCCACATTATTGACAATTCTGCCTTTAGATGCAATACCCATTCATCTATCCTCCATGTGACCACTTTTTCGAAAGTCTAGAGCTGATATCTCATACTCCTAATTCCCTACCTGGTATACTTAATAAACTCCTACTCAATCATCTTTTACAATCTGGCTTCAATGTTATCCTTTCTCTGCTAAATATTCCTACATCCAATGAGATAGAGTTTATTATTCTCTAAACTCTCATTAGATATTTTGTGGTTATTTATTTGTATCTCTGATTCATCCACTAAAACTGTGACTTCTTTAAAGGCAAAGACCATGTCCCAATTCATCCTTAATTACTAATTGCCTAGCTCAGAGTCAAAAGTACATCTTTTTAGTGGGATAATAGGTGACTGAACATGAATGAAATTCATACTTTATCTTGTAATCAATGGTAAATCACTGAATTTTTTTTCAATATTTTCTAGTTGTTGATGGACCTTTATTTTTTTATATGTGGTGCTGAGAATCAAACATAGTGCGTCACACAAGCTAGGCAAGTGCTCTTTCACTGAGCTACAACTCCATCCCCTGAAAGTTTTAGAATACAGTAAGAGAGGATGATAAATGTGTTATGAAAATTATCCTGATGATAGTATAGATAAATCAATGGAAGGAAATCCATTTAGGAGATAAATGTAGTAAGTACTTCAAGCGGGCAATATAAATTTAAATGGTGGTGGCAATAAGTGAGAACCAGTTTGAGACACACATGAAAAGGAAAAGGTAATGGCTGATTATGAGAAAGAGGAAAAGGCAAGATACAGAGTGACACTTTGAAAGTTCAATTATGAGAGATCAGGAGACTAGTAGTCACAAGCAGAGAATAAGAGAAACAATTTAAAAGGACGTTAGTTTTAAAAGTAAAGATAACAAAAGGCTGAGGCAGGATTGTCAAGTTGGAGGCCAGCCTCAGTAACTTAGTGAGGCCCTAAACAACTTAGAGAGACCATTTCTCAAACAAAACAAAGGTTTGAGGATGTGGCTCAGTGGTTAAACACCACTGGGTTCAATACCCTGCACCCCCCAAGCCCCCTCAAAAGTAGTAAAGATGAAGATTAAAATTTTGGATACAATGAGAACAAACCGAGATTAGAAATATAGTTTGATTTCTTATTTCACAATCTCCTTATTCCCATATTTTCCTCCCCTATTTACTAGTTAAGGAAAAATGGCACAAGAGGAAAGCCACTTACTTGAACCACCAATGGAGAAAAGGTTTTATAGTAAAATATGGGAAGAAAGTCTGATTTTTGGATGAAATTAAAATTTATGATAAAGGTTTATTTATTTTTTTTAGTACTGGGTTTTAAACCCAGCAGCACTTACAACCACTGAGCCACATCCCCAGTCCTTTTCATTTTGAGATAGGTTCTCACTAAGTTGCTTAGGGCCTCACTAAATTGCTGAGGCTGGCCCTTTACTTGGAATCCTCTTGCCTCAGCCTCTTGAGCTGCTGGGATTACAGCCATTATACCCAGCTTGTAATAAAGTTTTTGTTTTTAACATTTAATAAAATTTAACTTATAGTTTCAACTATAACTAATTCTTTTTTAATATTTATTTTTTTTAGTTGTAGTTGGACACAATACATTTATTTTTGTTTATTTATTTTTATGTGGTGCTGAGGATCGAACCCAGGGTCTTGCACGTGCTAGGCGAGCACTCTACCGCTGAGCCACAACCTCAGCCCTACACTAATTCTTAAACATACAAAGAATCAAGTTTTGTGGTTAGAATGCCAAGCTTATGGCAGTACCATCTGAAACTGTTAATTTCATATGTAACTTTTACAGCATAATCATAATCAATTTTATAAGAATTTTAGAGAAGTTCATGCATTCCCAAGGACCTCTATCAATCCTTTTGATATTTACACTATTTTCATTTGAAGATAAAACTTTTACAGGGATAGTGTTATTAAGGAAAATGTCAGAGTAACTCTAGTTTGGCACCAGTGAAGTATTTAATATCATCAGAGAAGATGACAGCCTTTTTTGAACTGTGATTCATATAAAGCCCAGTATTTAAAATAAATGATAAATGAAAGATGGCACTTGTTTCTGATCTACCTTATAATTATAACAGGAAAATAAAGAAGCAGACCTGAAATTTCAGTTCTAGCAATGCTATATACTTACATCAATATTGACAGGTTCTATTGTGTTTATATGCACATTGGGAGCAGATGAGGATCGGTCTCGTTGCCCAAATTGATTTCGATGATCTTCATCTGCTGGTCGGAAGGGCTGTGGAATTGGAATGGATTTTGAAGGAGACGGACTGGTGAGAATTTGGGGCCTGGAAAAATCAAGTAATTGAAAGATAAGATAAAAAGCAACTATACAGAGACAATAATATTAAATAATGAAAGATATAAAGATTTTCTGTTTATCAGAAAAATCTTTAAAATAAAGCACTGACATTCCAGCTGAAATAGCTTTATAAGAAACATTAAAGAGGACTAACAGACCTACAACTAGAACTGCCAAAGTTGCTATGTTCAAGCAGAACCTTCAGGAAATATCAACAAGAACACCAATGATTAATCAGCTGAAGAAGAGGGTCTTCTTTTTAAAGTAGAAAAATGTTCTAGTTAAGAGATTGAATAAAATCTATTTTTTCTAACTTTGCATTTCTTGAGAGCTGAAATTATTTAAATGAAAAAATTTATGAACAATATTAGGAAGTTATAAATATTTTGGGAATGTAATCTGTACACTTCAGGACCTGAAAAATGTACCTGCTGCCAAACACCTAAGTTGTACGAAAATTCTAAACAATATCAAAAGATCATTTCCAAATTCAGAAGATGATCTTCACAGTGCCAGGACTTTTCTCATTTTGAAATTTTTATCATTCCCAATGATATCAAAGACACAAGAGAATCATAAAGATTAAAGCATTTATTTTTTAAAAACTGGTTTTTAATCAGACCACCAAAATAGGTTACAGGGTGACCTACTTTGATACTGTAGATAAATAAGGAAGTATGATTTTTCACTGGCCCTAAAACAAACTTGACACAAAAACCCTAAAATTCAGAGGATAGACCATAGCACCTGTAAGAAGAATATGTTCCTCAGAAAAGATATCTACAGTAGGAGCAGGGAGGATCACTTGGTAGAAGATGCGGCTGTCTCACTGAACTCCACCATCAGGACCAATGAAGTGCTAATAAGCTCTTTACCTATATTTGTTATCATTCCACCCATCTTATGAAAGCTCTCTAAATGATCAGCATTATTTAGTAGTTATTAGGCCAGAAAGGCAATGATGAGGGAATAAAGCATTTTGTGACAGGAGAGGGTTTGGAGAGGAATGGTAAGAAAATATAGAAGGAAAAGAAATGGATAAAGGTTTGAAAAGGAAAGAAAGTTCAGTAGTGACAAAATCCTCCAAATAAAATGTCAACAGAATCTGAACCATGCCAGTTTACATCCTTACTTCTCTTTTTTATTTTATTTTTTTAATTTTGCTTTTTTTTATTAGTTGCTCATGACAATACAATGATCTTGACATATCATACATTTGAATCAAATGGGGTATAAATTCTCATTTTTACATCCTTACTTCTCTGAGCACACAAATAAGCACAATTATTAAGGATAGGAGAAAATTTTTGACTTTGCATGCTCATTTTAATTACATGAATTCATATATAACTGATATATAAATAATAAGACATTAGGTACTAAAAATTATTATCAGCCTAATTATAGGCAAGACTTATGGAACTAAATTTTGGGAAAATTAGCATGTTTCACTTGGGTCCTTTTTATGCTTTCCGGTTATTGAGAAATATTTGGTTTGTGACAGAGCCATTCCATTTCTTGCCTTAGGCTACAAATATACCCTTTGCTAAGGAATTGTGAGAGAAGTAAAACAATGAAAAAATTACATTAGTTAAAACAAAACAAAACAATGAACATAACAAAAAACCTGGAAAGTGAACTGATACCTAACTGCTACTTATAGACTGATGATTTAAAGTTTTAGGGCAAGCACATACTTTATTAAAAATTTTTAAAAAATTATACATAGACACAATATCTTTGTTTTTTGACTTTTAAGTGGTGCTGAGGATTGAACCCAGTGCTCCACATGTGGGAGGCAAGGGCTCTGCCACTGAGCCATAACCCCAGCCCAGGCACATACTTTAAATCAGGTCTTAAAACTGGAAAAAGCCCAAATTAACTAGAACTGTATAGGTTAGTCTAAGCAATGCTATAATTGATCTGGTATGGGCAGAAGTGGCAGTAAATCTTTCTTGAAACTTAGTTAGGACAATGACAGAAACATATTGGATGACAAATCAGAGATATGTATGCAAAGAATATGATCCAGAGGCAAGAAAAAAAATCCTGAATTTAATTTGGCAAGTTTCATTATCATATCTAAAGAAAAGAATGTATATATTAGAAAATGAGAATATCCAGGTGTGGTGGTGCATGCCTGTCAATGACTTGGGAGGCTGAGGGAAGAGGACTGAATATTTGAAGCCAGCCTCAGCAACTTAATGGGACCCTCAACAACTTAGGAGACTCTGTCTCAAAATAAAAAATAAAAATAAAATAAAATAAAACTGGGGATGTAGCTCAGTGGTAAAGTGCCCTGGGGTTCAATCCCCAGTACCAAACAGATAGAAAAAGAGAATGACTGCCAATTATATAAAATCAAAGACATTAATATCACCTGGAAGGGAAGGTGTGTTTTGATCCACAGTCACCTAGTCTTGAGGACAGGTATACATTGCAATTTTGGACAATACCTCAAGTTATCATATCCTGGTGTATTAAATATCTTATATTGCCTCTGGATCATATTCTTTGCATATATATCTCTGACTTGTCATCCGGTATGTTTCTGTCATTGTCCTAACTCAGTAAGTTTCAAGAATGATTTGCCACTTCTACCCATACCAGATCAATTATAGCATTGATTAGACTAACCTATACAGTTCTAGGTTATTTGGGCTTTTTCCAGTTTTAAGACCTGATTTAAAGTATGTGCTTGGGCTGGGGTTATGGCTCAGTGGCACAGCCCTTGCCTCCCACATGTGGGGCACTGGGTTCGATCCTCAGCACCACATAAAAATCAATGAACAAAATAAAGATATTGTGTCCATGTATAATTAAAAAAAAAATTTAAAAAGTATGTGCTTGCCCTGAAACTTTAAATCAAATCGGTCTATAAGTAGTATTAAAATTAGTACTCTGTACTAATTCCATGCTTGACAAAACCATCATAATTTGGTTTCCTATAAATATCTTCTGAAAGAATGCCAGCCCATCCAATACAAGAAGCCTGATTTATATAACAGGCATATTTCTTACAGAAAGAATTACTGGATATTCTGATGCAGTCTGTTCTGACTTTGTTTAATGTAAATCAGTATATTCCTATATTAATATTCTCATCATTTCTGGGAATGGATAAAATTGAGCTTCCATATCTGGGAAATCTTTACCTGGACCAAGGTAATTTATACCCTATGAAGTACCCTGGCAGACATCCAACTGGGTTTTATTCAATGACAACGTTACATTACCCTGCTGCAAACTTCTTTAAAGTGGTACCAAGTTTAAAATAAAAAATTTTAGCACTGTGTAGTATATTACCAATAAGTCAGACCTAATTTTCAAGCTAGAATATTTAAATTTTGAAGCAAAGTAATTACTTTTGTTCAGTGATATGCAAATTTTAAATGTTGGCTTTTCCTAAATGTATACACTCTTAAGCATTTTTAAGAAGTAGAAAAGAGGTATCTCTAATTTTTTACCAAAATTGTGTAATATATCACTTTTCCAAAATTTCTTGATTACATCTGTTATGACACTTGCTTTATGATCATTATGACTGTTATATCAAGACTAAAAACAAAATGCAAGTGAGTTCCAATACTGAATATGACCATACAGAGGCAACCATCTACACCATGACATAAAAGCATCAAGAAAATGATTTAAATAAGTTTGAACATCTTATTCATTTGCTCAAGACCAGAATCTACTTCAGTTATGAATAAAATACTTGTGGCATAGGCATATGTTTTCTTAAGACAGCACTCCTTCCTGAATTGTTACCACTGCAAACCTTCAGAGAGGCCAAGATAATTTCATTATGGTGTTCTGTAACTCTGCTCAAAGAACTGGGACCTCTCATTAGAAAGTCATCATGGTCTATAGACTCTGTCAGAAGAAAATGTCATAGCCAAAGGATTAATTAAAAACCCAAACACACAATAAAAACATTTTTACTTTATTGTCTTAAAAAACCCACAGAGCTGCACACAACTAATGGCAGAGCAGTAGGAATAAAATGAGTTCAAAGAATTGTTATAACCTGACAAAAGAACACAGTGGTTGCATTTTCTGTTGTTCCAAATGGACAAATACACCCACTCATTAACATAAAATTCTTTGCTAAATTTTCTAACCTATGAGACCTCCAGGAAGGTTGGCTTCACAAAAATTATAGGTCTATTAGAAGTGTCAACTTATGATTATTTTTATCTATATAGAAGTCTAGAGAAATATCACATTGTGAAGAGTGGGAGGTAGTAGGGTAAAAACTGACAATATTTCTGAACTAAATTTCTCTGGGATATTCTATAGAAACTTTTTTTTTATATGCTTCCAGATATAAGCATACACAATGCCATCTCAAATCCAGTAGGAAAAGAGTAAGCAGACTTGAGTAAGAGCCAATTACTAGTACCCACTTAACTCAACAATACCAGGTCTCTCTCTCTTTTTTTTCCACTATGAATCGTTTTTTTAAAATTTTTTTAGTTGTAAATGGATACAATATCTTGATTTTTATTTATTTATTTTTATGTGGTGATGAGGATTGAACCCAGGCCCCACACATGCAAGGCAAGCGCTCCACTGAGCTACAATCCCAGCCCATCTACTATGAATCTTAAATATAAGATACTTTGGCACTGTTTTTAAAGTCTTTGCTTTGTCCTCTACAACTAACGATACTATTAATTTCTTTCTTTTGCACTGTAAGACTATCCATACCTTCTCCCACTCCAGTTCAGGTCTTTGTTGCTTCTCAGTCTTTACTACCTAGTTGGCAGCCACAAACCCAGCCCTGTCCCTTTCATGTGTCAAATAAATTCCAGTTTTAATTCCAAGACTATCTGGTCTTATACTTGGCACTTCTCAAGATAAGTCTTTCTTTGCTAGGTCTTAATCCTGCCATTTTTATTCTTTTTTTTTTTTTTTTTTTTTTTTTTTTGGCACTGGGAATTAAGTCCAGGGGTGCTTTATCACTGAGCTACATACCCAACCCTTTTAATGCCTACACTGGCCTGGAACTAGCAATCCTCCTGCTTCAGCCTCCCAAACTGCTGGGATTATGGGCATGTGCCACTGTGATCAGCTTTCATTCCTTTCATTTATGTTTTTTCTCTATTCCCTATCACCATACTTTTATTTCCTAAGTTTACTCAGATTGTAGTCATTCTTTAAGGTCTAGTTCAAATCCCATCTTCTCCATTAGTTTTCCTGAGCATTCTCTCTTATACTACTCTCCCTTTTCTTAACATGAAAATACCTATCCTCATTTCACAATTTAACATACTCTTGGAAACTGTTTATTACAATACTATGCTATCTTTAAATTATTTGCTAATGTTTTATATGCTAATGCAACTTTTATAAAAGAAAGTAATATAGTTCTGTATCTAATATTATCTAAAAATTATCTGTTGTCTGATTTTTTTCAGATCTGGTTCTGAAAGTCTACAACCAGATTTAATCCCACTTGTGTACCAAATGCATGCAAATGTCTTAATGATGAGATAAAATAAGTTATTTGAAAAGAGAATTCCTTAATTTACCAATTCGAGTGCTAGAAGGCAGTTCATATAGCATGTCACTGAACAGCAGGAGTCAAATCATACCCAATAGAGTCTGAGGGGGGTGCAGAAGGGGATGATCCAGATGTAAGGGCAGTCTCTGCTAAGGAGGCCTCCTCCTGTGGTATTGGGTGGTGCTCAAAGAACTTGGAGACAAACAGCAAACTGTGAGGCAAAAACAAAACAAAACAAAACAAACCTAACTTGTGCAAAACCCAGAAGCTTCAGTACATCAGAATACATAGTTATTGGGAAAATATGAGATCAAATTCCACTTTGAGAAATAATTGTTAAATTTTAATTAGTTGTATTTTTGTCTAAAGACTTATTAAAAATATTACATTGTGTTTTCAAAGGCAAGCTCAGAATCTATAACTAATTTTTCTTTTCAGCAAATTTCTACATATTAGAAGGGGAAAAATCATGCTTCATAGTTAAAGAATTAGAAGAACAAGTATCTATTGCTAAATTAGATTATATTATTATAATTTACTTTAAAGTATGGAGTTAAATACTATTTGCTCAGGAAGTGATCGGAAAATATACAAGACCTTAACAGAAGAAACAACAATAATGACAGAAAAGAGATTATAACAGATTCGGACTAATCTATTAGAAAAACTCCAGCATAAAGCGAAAAGAAATTTTAGGAAGGAATAAACTGGGTATGAAGATTTTATATCTTACTTTTAAATAAACTGGGGAAGGAGGCACAAAGTGGGGGGGAAAGAGAGGGAGAGAGAAAAGGGGAGGGGGAGAGAAAGAGAGAATATAAAAGTAGTTCACAAAATAAATCACAGATTAGACCTCAAACTATAATGGTCAACTTAATTGAAATGACCCATCAGGTCTCTTCCCACAAACTATCCAAAAATGATTTCTATGGACTAGGGGTCTTTATTAATTAAAAGAGAATATAAAATATAAATAAAATGTACAGCTGAACCAGAACTACAATTTGGGAAAGAAGTTCTGGCATTTCCATGTTATTGTACATTACAAGCTATTCTCTAATCATACTTTAAAAAGTTCCTTGTAAAAACTACACTGGACAGAAAATCCTTCATGGACTTTCAAGACAACTAGTTTTATAATATGAAAATTTAAATGTAAAATGGTAGACAGAAGAGAGGTTCTTTTGGATTACTTACTCAAGTTGGTCATAATTAACACACATCAGTGGAACCTCTGTACTACAACGCTGGTGAAATTTATAACCACATGTTTGACAGCGGAAACCTTGGAAAAGCAGCTTTCGACAAAAGTCACAAAATGCTAAGGTGAAAAAAGTTTTTCGTACCTACAAAATAAAAAAAAGCAGAGAATTTCAAAAGCTTGAAAGAACCCTTTTAGAAATTAGCATATTTAACAAAGTCTTAATACATTTATATCATAAAAACTTACATTCTAAAATATAAACATGAAAACCAGAGGGTTCAAGATAGTAGATGGGCTGGGCATGGTGGCACATGCCTGTAATCCCAGAAGCTTGGGAGGCTGAGGCAGGAGGATTGTGAGTTCAAAGCCAGCCTCAGCAAAAGTGAGACACTAAGCAACTCAGTGAGACACTGTCTCTAAATAAAATACAAAAATAGGGCTGGGGATGTGGCTTAGTGGTTGAGTGCCTGAGTTCAACCCTGGGTACTACCCCCCAGTAAAAAGATAGTAATGGGCAACATGCATTTATCTTCTATCCCAACACCCAAATTAAAAACTCAGAAGTCAAGAAGAATGAGAAACAAAAGACTAGTAAAAGATTTCAGCTTGACAACATAAATATAGAGGCAGAAAATGAGAGAATAAAGGAAAAATGATGGAGAAAGAAGGGTATAATTTAATTATTGTACAAAGAGGATAGAGAAGGAATGCTGACTGGTATTGATGAAACAAGAACACCAGTTACAAAGATGTCCAATGGAGGCCAGGCACGGTGGCACACTCCTGTAATCTCAGTGGCTTGGGAGGCTGAGACAGGAGAATCTTAAGTTCAAAGCCACTCTCAGCAACTGTAAGTTCCTAAGCAACTCAGTGAAAGTCTATCTCTAAATAAAATACAAAACAGGGCTGGGGATATGGCTCAGTGGTCAAGTACCCCCTGAGTTCAATCCCCGGTACCAAAAAAATAAAAAATAAAAATAAAAAGATGCCCAGTTGAAGAAGAAAAATTTAAAAAGTAAAGAGAGAGAAAAGGAGAAGAGTGCAATGCTAATATCTAAACTTGATAAAGCAAGAAACTGGCTAAAAAATATTTAGTGATATGACAGCAGTTATCCAATGAGCTCAAAACAAACTATTAAAAATGAACAGTAGTCTCCTCTGGAGAGGGTTAAGGAGAGAAGAAGTGGAAAGGAAGAGTGAGAGAATATAAAGATGATTTAAAAAATAGGTGAAAGAATCAGAACCTATCACCTGTGGTTCAAAAATAAAATGATTAGCTTAACTGAAATGACACTTCTTCTAAAAATTACCAAAAAGTGATTTCTATGGGTTAGGGTGTTTTAATTAAAAGATAATATATATAATGTACAGCTAAATCAGAAATACAACTTGAGACAGAAATGCTGTACACTACATGTTACTTTCTAACTACACTTTAAATGTCAAATAGTGCACAGAGATTTTTTTTTTTTAAAGTAACTTTCTGAAGTTGATTATAATTATTGTACATCAGTGAAAACAAGGCTGGTGAAATTTATAACCAGCATTAGAAGCTAGCAAGGGATGGGGCAACAGATACTTATTAATTATAAGCACCTCTGCACTTCTTTTATTTTGTTTTTGGTACTGGGGATTGAACCTAGAAGTGCTTTACTACTGAGCTCTATCCCAAGCATTTTTTATTTTTTGAGACAGGGTCTCACTAACTTGCTGAGGCTGGCCTTGACCTTATGATCCTCCTGCTTAGCCTTGAGTCACTGGGATTACAAACATGTGCAACTGTGCCTGGCACCTCTGTACTTTTTTAAAGCATATACATGTACCATTTGGGTACAAATATAAAATAATTATTTATAAAAGACAAAAACTAGCATATGAAAATCAGAACTAATTTGGATGAGGGATAAGAAAATCATCTAAATACAAATTTTAAAAAAATTATTTTTTGGTCACAGGGTCTTGCTGTGTGGCCCAGTTTGATCTCAAAGCTAAGATACTTCTGCCTTAGCTAGCTTCCCTTGTTGGTATTCCAGGAGTGGGCCACCACACACAGCAATAAAAAATACTTTTACAAACTATCAATTGTTGGGGGATTAGAATATTCAGGCAATTTAAACTTATTAGTGAATATTTATTTACACCAAACTTAAAAGGCAATATATAAAAATTCTCTGTCAAAAGGCAAGTGATATATAACATGGATAACAAAAACAAAACTCTGCTAGGGAAAATCCATCTTACCAAAGATAGAATTGCTTAAAATGTACATGTTTTGAGTATACAATGAATAGAAAACATAAGATGGACACACAAATACAAAACTCTTAATAATGACTATTTCAGAGTGTCAAGAGTATGGATGACTCCTATCTTATTCTTTGCTGTAAATTCTCAATCATCTCAGTTTTTCAAAATTTCAATCACAAATAATAGTAATAAATATTGCTGGGAGCCATTAGCCAAGTAGGTATGACAATTTCCTTGCCAGCGTACCCCATGTTGCAGTGACATTGAATGTAGGTGACCTTGTTCAAGGACCAAGGCGGATTAGGGCGTTCCCGGTTTAGGTTCCAGGTTTAAGGTTTAAGATTATTCCTGCTGGGAATAGGGCGTATCTTGCTGCCTGAGTTCCCCTTGAGTTCTCACGGGATTCAGACAGTATATTTTGGAGATAGAAGCCCAGTGGAGGTGGATTTGGGCAGAGAACGTGGATTTCCCCAGAACGTGTTTGTAGACGGCTGGTGTGAGTTCGGGAATAAAGAGTTGCTGTTTGAATCTACAAGCTGTGTGGTGGCTCGTGATATTCTGCCCAGCCAGACTGCGGCATTTGTGCCCAGCCAGACTGTGGCAAATATATTTTACCTTATGACCCAGTATATACCTGTAATCTTAATAATACTTACCTGGATATATAATGAATTTCTGAATCTATTCTATTAGATACAGATGCTTTTCACAATACATTAGATTGATTCTAATACCAACATTATTTTCAATCAACATTAATGGAAGTAATTTAAAAAGTATTTCATCAAAAAAATTATATTCTGACATACAATCCTTTTTGAGAACATTTATACAGTTTTAAAAGTGACATTTGTTTTCTTCAACTTTTTCCCCCTATGTGTCACTTTCTAGGGGATATGAAAAAGCCAAATTCTTGTTTCTGGCTTTGTTCCTTTTCCATTTGTCTCTGGTTAGATAAGAAATTAAAATATCTTCTTTACTATTTTTTCTGCAGCCATTACTTACCAAACTAAGCATCTTTTACACTTCTGGCAGAACTTCAGCAAATAGCAAAGAAAAGTATGTTTTCAAAGTATCAATATTTTTCAGTCATCTGATTCTTTTTGCTCACCACACATACTCAGTCACCTGATAACTTACTGTTTCATGAAGCCCTCAATTTCCTCTTCCTTCATTAAACTACTCAACTGCTTTTATTCCTATCATTAAACCATATATTATATGTGTGTGTGTGTATGTATGTATATACATGTATTTTCTTTTAAATTTGTTCATAAATACACAACAGTAGAGAGTATTTTGACATGTTATACATACATACATGGAGTATAATGTCCCATTCTTGTGGTTGTATTTGATGTGGAGTTTCATTGGTGGTGTATTCACATATAAACATAGGAAAGTTATGTCCAATTCATTTTACTGTCTTTCCTATTCCTATCTCCCCTTCCTTCCCTATTAAACTATATTTTAAAACTATGTATAACTGGTTGGTTGTGCACATAAAGGAGGAAAATGAGAGAAGAAAAGTAAGAGGGAGGGATATATGGGGGAAGGAAAACATCTGAGGGGGAGAAAATATGTGAATATGCATTTGAGCATAAATTTTAAGCAACATGTTTGGATCTATAAGGATACCTTTTGTCAATAAGATGGGCACAGGAAGATCTATCTTTCTTCTGGTTCACAGCTTATGCTTCAACTGGAATTTAAGCATAACTATGTATGTACAGTAAATTAGTGGAAGGACACACACTGTAACATTTAGCTTATGTGAGGTTCGAGCAAATGCAAAAAGCAGACAGGGAAAAGACTGAGGGAGAAGCTCAGTATCCAGCTATTTCTCCTCCTACTTTCATCACTATAGTCTTCAAAAACATTTACACAAATGTGTATACAGATTCTGTTGAGCCCTGTATATAACAGGTTTTTGGAAAATATAAAAATTTAAATAAATGCTATTAATAGAAGAATGGTTAGGTATGCCAAATTTCTACTCCTATGAACTATTATGCAATTGTTAAATAAAGCTAAGTGTAATGACATAATTTAGTCTATAATATCCTGTTGAATAAAAAAATAAATAAAAAAAGGTGAGGAATATCACCAGAGCATGGAAAGTAATGAAGCAGGAGAAAAAAAATGAGAAAGGAGAAAACTCTGGGTTTACAGTTATAGGCATATGTTTGTGTATTCAGTTACCCATTTAGTCTATACAAATGTTGACCTGTAGGAGGGGGATTTTCATTTTTTTACTTCATATACTTTTTTGCAGCATTCCAATTTTTTCTCTTAATAACAGACATGTATTTCTTTTTAAGTTAAAAAGAAATCAGGATGAAAATAAACCTCTTTAAACAAAAGTTTAAAGAACAAATTTTCAACTTATGTAAAATGTCAACACAAAGTGAGTCAACCATTTTCATATTCCTCAATAAAAATACATTCATAAGAACTTGAACATTTTTGAAATGCCAAAAATGTAAAGGTACATACAAAGTTGTGTGTTGTAAGTGGAACATTTTCCAACACTTCTACATGCAATTCTTCCCCTGTAAGCCAGGAAATATCAGTGTCCCAGCCAATTGGTTTCTTCTCTCTGAAAAATATAGACATAAGTCTTTCTTGGTTACTGTACCTAAGAATACTCACATGCCTAATGCTGAAGATATGAAAATTGGTTATTGAGGGGCTAGTAATTGGGAGGCTTGGCTCCCTGGTCTTCAATCTTCAGAAATTTGAATGGCAATAAATTTTTAAGTTTATCCCAAATAATGTATCACTCTTAGACATATAGCAGGGTAAAGAGATGTACTCTTTTCCAGAAAAGACATACAACAGTAAAAAATTGATTGTTCCTGTCTTCTCCCTCAAAAAAAAAAAAAAAAAAAAAAAAAAAAATCAAAGGTATGGACTTATCTATTCAGAGAAAAAGAGGCACCATATGCCCTCCAAAACATGATTGAAAATTTGGATTCAAAATCTGAGAGTCTTAGAACAATGTTAGATACTTTCTGAAAGAAAAAGTTTAATATAAAATGTTAATTTTGATAAACTTTTTTTGAGAGTATGAGTTTGTATTAAAAATGAGGGAGTGGAGCTGGGCGTGGTGGAGCATGAGGCTGAAGCAGGAGGATCTCAAGGTCAAAGCTAGCCTCAGCAGATTAGTGAGACACTTAGCAACTCAGCAAGACCCTGTCTCTAAATAAAATATAAAAAAGGGCTGGGTATGTGGCTCAGTGGTCAAGTATCCTGGATTTAATTCCCGGTACTAAAAGAAAAAAAAAAAAAATGAGGTAGTGTATAAGGATTCATTATCCAAGTAAATCTCATTCTATGGTTGAAAAATCCAAAAAATCTCAAACTCCAATAAAGTCATTTGATTAGAATAACAAATATCATAGTTAACACAAAATTAATTAACTCAGTACTAATTAAAACATTTCCCCCTAAAGTTGCTTTTCAATCCCCTAGGTTTGGGTACAGATCCTACAGAAAACTCCAAAGTTTAATGTCTGATTTTCTTTGTAACAAAATTTCACAATACATACAAACCATACCCATCCTGAATTCTGTAAACAGCACAGCACTCTGGGATAAGACCTCGCATCATCAGTGCTTTCTTTAGACTGTCTCGTACTGTAACTCCACACCTTGCAGGTACCTACAGTATAAATATATGTAAGAGGGAAAAAAATTTTTTTTCATATCATTGGGGAAAAAACAAAACCCCAACAACAACAAAACCCTCAGTAATTTATCTTCCTAACACAAATCCTTTAAAATATCATGGATTACTAGGTTAAATGCGATATCATTTCTTATAGCTCACTTAATATTACAGGGAATTATAATCAAAATATCTATTATTATTAATCTTACTGACCCAGATCACAATTTGATTTTTGGTCTTTTATTAAAGTTATGAAATATTTTTAAAAGGAACAGAAAATATAATTGTACCTATTATAATATATCCATCCATACAATATACCTACCATTGAGAAATAATAGATGTCAGCATTTAAAGTAAAATCAATTTTGGTCCAACATTGTTCAAAGTTGAAAACTGTACAATCCTTCAATCACACTGATAGTCCTTAAGAGACATCTTATTGACCCAAAACACAATAGGAAGAAAATACTTGTCTTAATGTGCATAATTGATATTTGTTGTTTAGTTACCCAGTGCCCCTATTTCCTCTGGGAACTTGCCTCTCTCTAGAAATCCACATGTCATTAGAGAGGCTTTATCAATCTAGAGGCATTACTTTTCTAGCTACAGATGACATAAGTTGGCCAATGAGCTCCCCATATCCCTAGCAATACAACTAGCTTAAAGCTAGATATATGACATAAACAGCACCCGAGTTATTCCCTAAACCAATATGTGGACATAGGTTGAGAGAAGTTCCTATTTCTACTGCAGTTACAGTAGGCCTACAGAATACAAATCTGGACACTTCATTGTGGCCATCTTCCTAGGAGGTAGTACACTGAGAAAATCTGATCACAGAATAAAGCTAACATAGAAAGAAGTACAGATGACTCTGGGAATGGGGAAGGGTAAGGCAAAGGAAAGAGATAGTTATGCTTGGCCTTTTCCCATGTTCATATCCCCAGGTAAATTTAGCATAGACTAAAGAGAGGCAGTGGGACTACAGGGAGTGCACTTTTTGCTAGGGGGTGGCATAAGAAGAAGGTGATGTGTTAGTTAATTATAATAAAAATTAATTATCCCATACACTTAAATCACTTCAAAGTACTTAGCAACCCAAATGTTTCCAAAGAATTGGGAATTTTTATGTGAGGGGGTGAAAAACGGAACAAAGATGAATATAAGACAGCTGAATTTAAGCAGTATATTAAAGAAGGAACAATACGTTTAATTAGAAGCTGTGATTGGAAATAAAAGGAGATAGATTTTAGCTCAATATAACCATTAAAACCATCCAGCAAGGGAAATGCTTATCATGAAGGAGAGGGCTCTTCATGAGAAGTATTAAAGAAGTGACTGGATTGGTACAATTGATCTCATTATTTGTGGAATCCTTATTTGTGAATTTGTCTACTTGCTAAAATTTTAATTCTGAAATCAATACTTGTATTGTTTTTGAATAAACAGAACAGTGAAAATTTTGTGCCATTTGATGCACATATCTTCCTAGTAGTCACTATTTTATTTCAGAAGGTCAACCTTGTTTTTAAGCTTCCACATTTTTTGACATTACAATACTTCCATTAAATCTATCTTATTTGTATTGTTTAATCTAATTTTAGGCTTACATATCTTTAATATTTTTGGTCCCTGAAGCATTGTGTTTTATTTCTGTTCTCTTCACCTTTTCTTTCTTCTATTTTGACACAGACCCTTATAGAATATGTACGTACCTTTTCCTACCTCTAAAAACAATAATCCTGGCTACTTTCTCTTTTCTCTACTATTGCTATTATTGTTCAAAAAGTGTTATTTTTTTATTGTTTCAGACCTCTGGCATTGTGTTTGTGCATGGCATTTAAGACAATTTATAAAAGCAGATTTATTCTTCCAAAAGGTATACAAAAGCTGATAACCACATGAAGATACTTGATATCCTCAGCTATCAGGGGAACTGAAAACAAGAACCACAATGACATACTATTCCATACCTGCTAGGATAGTTTTAATCAGAAAGACAAATATGAAATAAATGTTGGCAAAAATGTGGAAAAAACTGAATCCTCAAGCTGGTGAGAAAGTGTAATCATGCAGGTATTTAGGAAAACATCTTGGCAATTCCTCAAAAGGTTACTAGAAGTATATACCCAAGAAAGATAAAAATATATACCCACATAAAAATCTGTACATGAATGTTCACAGCAGAATTATTTCTAATAGCCAAAAAGTAGAAGCAACACAAATACCATCAACAGATAAATATATAGATAAAATGTTATATATACATCTAATAGAAGGGGATATTATTTTGCTATAAAGAGGGAACAAAAGAGCTGGCATGGCAAAATACACCTGTAGTCCTAGGAGGCTAAAGCAGGAGGATCCCTTGAGTCTAGGGGTTCAATATGAAAGGAAGGAAGGAAGGAAGGAAGGAAGGAAGGAAGGAAGGAAGGAAGGAAGGAAGGAAGGAAAGGGGAGGAGAGGGGAAAGGTAAGCAGAGAAAGAAAAGACTAGAAGGACTGACACGTTATGCCATGGATGGACCTTGGCAACATGCTAAGTAAAAGAAGCCGCATACTTCATGATTACATTACACAAACTGCCAAGAGTAAACATACAAATCTACAGAGATAGAAAACAGATAAGTAGGGGCTGGGGTTGTAGCTCAGAGTAAAGTGCTTGCCTAGCATGTGTGAGGCACTGGGTTTGATCCTTAGCACCACATATAAACAAATAAAATAAAGGTATTGTGTCTATCTACAACATATAAATATATATATATATATATATTTATATATATATATATATATATATATATAGGCAACCACTTACCTACATTATTTTATATATTATATATTATTTTATATATTATATATATAAAAAGAAAGTAGGTAAATGGTTGCATATATATATATTATATATATATATATAAAGTAGGTGATGGTTGTATTACTCTTACGTATGAGTATACAAAAACCATTGTTAAATGGGTGAAATGTATGATATTTGAAGTATCTAAATGTATCTTAAAAAAAAGGAAATTCTGTCTTTTGAATTATAAACTCAAGAAGGAAGACTTAGGACAAGTCACTGTCTGGGGTAACTGGGCAAATCTAACACTTTAATTTTTTTATTATTATGTTTTGCACATAAACACACAGAGAAAAAGATATGTATCTCAGGCCTAATAGTTTAAATTATATTGGATTTCCTGTCTTTAATATTTCCCTTTTGGCCCCTTCTGCATTCAGTTTTATTCTTGTTTTCTTCATTTCTCTTTATCTTACTGTGACATAGGTTCTTATAGAACTCACACCTTTTCCTTAGACTGTTGAGAAAAATTTTTCTGAGCTAGGAGTCATGCATGGCTCCTGCCTACAATCCCAGCAACCCAGGAGGCTGAGATGACAGGAGGATTGCAAGGTCGAGGCCAGGCTCAGCAAATCGAGGCTCTAAGTAACTTAGTGAGACCCTGTGTCAATATAAAATAAAAAGATGTGGCTCATTGGTAAAGTGTTGGGTTCAATTCCCAGTACCAAAAACAAAAGCACTCTGCTTTTCTGATTTTAAGGTATTACAAAGTTCGAAGTGTGAATATTATATGACCAAATAATTATTTCTAGGTATTTAATCTATAAAAATATTCTCAGTTTCAGGATTTATATTTAAACATATATTGCAGCATTACCCAATTATTCATCAAGAAAGAAATAACTATCAGATATTGCAATATATATACATATATACATATTCATACAGCTATTTAGTATATACAGTTAATATACAAAGATATATAGTGTATCTTTATTTGTGCATTACCCTAAACTACCATAAAGTACAGTTTTGCATTATGTGAAAGAAGGGTATTAAGTATAAAGTAAAAAGTTAGTTTCTCATGTTCCAGACAGTATTCCCAACCCTGAGACAACCACAATGAATAGTTTTTTATACATGATTCAAAGATAACTCAATGTTTATTCTTATTTATTTATATATAACAGGAAAATGCATTACAATTCTTACTACATATATAGAGTTCAATTTTTCATATCTCTGGTTGTATACATAGTATACTCACACCAATTCATGTCTTCATACTTGTACTTTAGATAATAATGATAATGTTTATTCTTTTTAACCACTGTTTTTATTTATGAGATAAGACACCAGGTTTATATGCTTTTATTTTCAGAAAAAAATGTTATTTTTAATACGATGAATAAAAATTCATAAAATCTGTGAATTACTTCTTAAAATTATACTTCTGATATTTGCCACAAATTTTGAAAATAAAGAATTTAAAACCACCACTGTGAAATAACCACAACAACTTTTAATAAAGAAATTTTAACTGTACTTGAATTTTTTAAAATATTTTTTTAGTTATACATTGACACAATATCTTTATTTTTTTTGTTTATTTTTATGTGGTGTTGAGGATCGAACCCAGTGTTTCTCACATGCGAGGCGAGCGCTCTACCACTGAACCACAACCCCAGCCCCTGTACTTGAATTTTAACAGGATAAAAAGATAGATCAAAAAACTGAACTCTAAGCAAATACTTCTCACTAAAACAGGTCATCCCTTGAAAAGGTCTCTAGAGGGTAGTCTTTTGCTCTTCTATATAAATATTAGAGAATTAGCTTGTCAGATAAGGCAGGGAAGATGGATAAGACCATTTAGAATTAAAAAAATTTTTTTTTTAATTTTTTTAGTTGTCAATGGACCTTTATTTTTTTTATTGATTGATACGTAGTGCTGAGAATAGAACCCAGTGCCTCACACATGCTAGGCAAGCGCTCTGCCACTGAGCTACAACCCCAGCCCCTATTTAGATTTTTAATGGATCTGCACAGAATTTATAGACTAATGTGGAGAGAAATATAATAGGGAAATAATCAGAAATAAAGTAACTTTTTCTTTTATTCTTTTAAAATATATTTCAATAAAATTGTACACATTTTCTTCACAAAGCTTCCCACATATTATTGTATCTGTTAAAATT